GCAGGAGGATCACTGAGAGTTCGAGACCAGCCTGGGCTACACAGTGAGTTCCAAGACAGTCTCACCTATATAGTGAGACCCTGTCTCAAAAAACAGAAATAGTATTCACAACCAAGACAGAGAAAACCATTGCCTTATGCAACAACTTAGGTACCTATCAAGGAACTTGTGTTAAGTGGAGGAAAACAAAAAGATTTTGCAAAACTTTATATACTGCATGATTCAATTTATGTGACATTCCTAAAGGGATTTAAAGCTTTGAAGATAGGATCACTGGTGGCCAGAGGCTAGGAGGAGGGGAGCAGGGGAGGTGGGTATGGATATAAAAGAGAGACAAGCAGAGCCTTCCTGATGAAACTGTCCCACATTTGATTGTGATGGGGTCCATGGATCCACAAATATGAGAAAATAAAATAAAGTTAATCGTACATATCAAACACAACAGCATATGCAACGTTAGTAAAATCTAAGATCAGTAGACTATCAATATCAGTCTCCTGGCTGTGATGCTGTACTGTAGTTACACAGGGGGAAAGTGAGTAAAGAAAATGTGATTTCTTAAAACTGCATTTGAATCTGATTATCTCAAAAGTCAACACAATTTTTAAAAAATAAACCCTGACATAAGGAAAATAATCACCACCCTTTGACTCCCAGCCATAGAGATGTTAATTGGACAGAAATGTTTTTAATGCATAATAATTATGTGTCTTGTCCAGGCACAGTGCAAGAATCAGGAGCCGAGTGACGGGCTGAGAGTGATCCTGGTCCACAGAGAACTTAGAGCTTTCAGAGGAAGCCAGGCATCGGACAAACACCCACCGAAATAATGAGCTGGAAAGGACCTACTGTGCTGTGTATACATAGGGATGGCCAACCACATCTAGGCAGTTAGAGAGGAGGCTCCCAGAAGGACAGGGTAGGAAGAGACCAGAGGAGAGCACGAAACCACTCGGGTGGAGGAAGAGGTTGCTCTACTCTAGGAGCAGGAAAATGCACTGGATCCTGTAGGATGACATGGCTGAGCCGGGATTATACCAGCACCAGACAGGATGTAGAGAGGCTGGCAGAGCGAGACCATGGGAGGCTTCCAGGGCTGTAAGATTCTCGCTGGAAAGCAGCAGGAAGAGAGGGAAAAGGTTTGGGTGTGCGAGGTGGCTGCAGCTGCAGGAGCAATAGAAGCTATTTTCGGGACCTTGTGATTACAATAGTAATTCAGCACTGGAATAAATTACAGTAGTGCTTGGGGGAACATTCTTTTGGAAGAAATTGAGTTGACTGTTAAAGAAGATAAATAACTCACTTCACGTGGGAAAGTATGCAGAAGAGAGCTGGGGGTGGAGTTGTAAATCAGGACAGAGGAGGGAAGCCGGACACAGCCCAGTCCCTGGTTTCTGGCCTTTGAAGTCGGAAGGGTGCATAATCGTAGTCCTTCAGTCCCTTTGTCACAAGCTGGAAACCCATTTTGCAAGGCTATAGGAGCATTTTTGAACTGCTGCTTAACTTCATTTAAACGTAGGTTGATAGGACAAGAATGGTTGTAGCAGCCCAGGAAAGAAGTCCCCCAAATATTAGACTTCCCCGCCTACCTGAAAGGAGCCACGTGTGTGTCCTAGGTGGGCAACTCTCCAGGCGGGGGAGGGGAAGAATGGGGTCCTCCTGTTCCACGAACTGGCAAGGTGCTTTTTCCTTTCCCCACCCCTGCAGTCTCCCCAACCTCAGGCTAAACTCCGTGTGACTCTTTGTTTAGTAACTTATTACTTACGAACAAATAGTTGTCTCCGAGGAGGGAAGCTCGTAAAATCAATTGTAGCAGTGGCCCATTGCATTTAATTATTCACGGTTACATGAACGGTTACTGAGTGCTACTAAGTGTCACGCTACTGTTTGAGTAGTTTCAGACAGGTAGCTTCTAGGAAAGTATGAGCACAAATGTCTGTGGACAAGTGATTAAGCAGTAACACCCACCACCACTCGGTAACCAGAACCTGAGGATGGATCCCATGTGCCTCAGCCACTGAGCAGGCAGATGAGCGGGAATCCTGCTAAGGTACAAAATCCCAAGTGTCCGTGTCTATCAGACAGTGAATCCAAACCGAAGGGAAAATGGGAAATAACCCCCTACCTGCACTGGAACATCTCTAAATTGTCCTGTATTTAGTACTCCTCATACCTACACCTTCTCAACGCCTTTCTTTCTGTTCACTGAACCCAGGACTAGAAGTTGGAGGAGAACAGGCTGGGCATCTATTGAACACCAAGAAGGTCACTGACCAGCAACAGCCGTGATGTGAAGCCTTCCATCAACCTGAGACCCTCTGCGGACGCATAGCTGGCCCGCAGTTCGAGGAGAAAAAACCCTCTGCAGCTGGGACACACTGAGCTGAGGGTTGCTTGCTCCTTCCTGCAGGATGAATGTAGGGCAGCAAGCCTGACTCTCACTCCCAGCCCAGTGTGTGTCTTATTTTGTCCTCTTGAATCAGGCACACAGAATCAGAGTCTTTATCCTTGGTTCATGAAGCAGCATCGGGCATAACCCTCTTCGTTTATTCCCTTGAATTTAATTATTTTTATAATGACTTCTCTGTGTCAATCACCTGGCGCACAAATGAAACTATCATCAACGGAGCTGGGGATTTAGCTCAGTGGTTCTGCCACCTGCCTTGCAAGTGCAAGGACCTGAGTTTGATCCCCAGTACAAAAAAAAAAAAAAA